TATCAATAAACATTAATACAGTGAATTAAATGAAAGAATGTTTAAGAAAGCCTTAGCTTTTATGAGGCATGGTCCATTAGGAGACAGAATATAGACACTTATTCTTAATCCTGAAATCCAAAGTAAACCACATACTTATCTTTTAAACAGAAGGAGATTGAGGAAAATGAGGAGAGATCTTCACTAATGATTTAAAAAATAAAAGAACCAAAACTCTCATGAATTTGAAATCTCATTGTATTTGGCAAAGCACATATATACTTCAAAATACATCTAATTTTTATCACAACAATAAAAGATTCAAATTGAAAATTTACTTTAAAGCCTAAGTGATTTAGCCAGCTTTCATTTATAATTTATAATGAGCAATTTATTAGCAGATTGTCTTCTTGTTACTATTCAACTTAAAGGTTTATTTAGTTTTAGAGCTAATAACATATCCACTAGAGACAATGAAATAATTCAGAATGTTCTCCGTTTATGCTCCCCTTTGAAGCTTAATTACTTTTGTTTAAAAGATATAACAACTCCTCCCCACCGCATCCAGAATCACAATTTGTGATAGCAGTACAGAAGATTAATAATTTCTTCTGAAAAGCAATCTGGTTTCAACAAAATATTTATGTCGAAAGAAGGAAACTATCACATGGAAGAAAGGTGTTGACTGCAACTCTATGTATGTTATCAAGAATTTTCAATTTAAAAATATTCAACAAGGGCTAAAAATATAAATTAAGTTTATCACTGTCTAATACAGTTGAATATGTGCAGTCTATAAATCTAGCAATTCCTCTTCTAGATACATACTCTAGAGAAACCTAGAACATGTACATTAGAGTAAAGCTTATAGTTGTATAAAAGATGCACTTGGGGCCGGGCACAGTGGCTCACGCCTGTAATCCTAGCACTCTGGGAGGCCAAGGTGGGCGGATTGCTCGAGGTCAGGAGTTTGAAACCAGCCTAAGCAAGAGCAAGACCCCGTCTCTACTATAAATAGAAAGAAATTAATTGGCCAACTAATATATAGAGAAAAAATTAGCTGGGCATGGTGGTGCATGCCTGTAGTCCCAGCTACTCGGGAAGCTGAGGCAGCAGGATTGCTTGAGCCCAATAGTTTGACGTTGCTGTGAGCTAGGCTGACACCATGGCACTCACTCTAGCCTGGGCAACAAAGTGAGACTCTGTCTCAAAAAAAAAAAAGATGCACTTGGAGCCATAAGGGAGGACAGAGAATCATATCTATATATTCTAATTTTCTTAAAGAAAAACATACTCAGATTAAGTTGCTGAAGTTCACAATTATGTAGTCACCAAATACAATCTTATGGAAAGTACCACATTTAAACCTTCCACCCATCCAGCAATACTGCTTCTCTACCCAAAGCAAAATCCCCTTTTAAAAAAATTTAATCACAAAGCAACCAAGATGCATAAATTCAACACAGATAAAATCTTTAGTTGGGAAGCAGAGAAAAATATGTGTTATTTCATTAATCACTAATGATTACAAACACACAGAGAGATTTAACAATCATATTAACTCAGCAAAACTCAAAGTACTTTTCCCCCCAAATACATTTTCACCTATGCTTAGTGTCCCTTCTTGTCAAAGATCAGTTTAGGTTTTAATTTAAAAGTTTTTACATATACTACTATGAATTCAAGTGGTGTAACAAATCTTTTTTTTCCTTCTCGCAGAACTTGGCCATAGAGTAAATATACAGTTAAGTTCTCCTTTCCACACTATTAATGAAAAAAAATATAAAACACGGAACTATGAAAACCCTAATTATGTTGTAATGCAATTGATTCTAATGTTTAGGGTCATCAAATAATTTGAATGCAGTAATTGTTAAAAACATTTTTGAGATAGATCTCCTTTACAAATTTTTACATGCTAACAAAATACTAACTCAGAAAATACAGCATGAGTAATATGAAGAGCAACTTTTATTTAACAATTTATAAGAACGGGGCTTATAATGAATTAATATTTACTTCAAAATATGTGGCCCAAATTGAGTCAATATAATACATTAAAAGTCCAAAATGTCCTTTTTCTTAATCATTCACAATCTATGAAGAACTTCAGTAATATCTCTAACTCAGAAATTAGTTCATACTAAAATTAAAAACAGGAATTAGAAAATGAAGCGCTAAATTCACTTTTGCCTCTTAAGTTGTGAGATCTTGGCCAAGTTATAGAATATAAAATCCAAGTTTCCTCATCCGTAAAATGTAAAGACTATTCCATCTGCTCTGGTTATTCCACAAGGCTGATATAAACAAGAAATCAAATAACCTATGTGAAGGCCGGGCGCTGTGGCTCATGCCTGTAATCCTAGCTCTTGGGAGGCCGAGGCGGGCGGATTGCTCAAGGTCAGGAGTTCAAAACCAGCCTGAGCAAGAGTGAGACCCCGTCTCTACTATAAATAGAAAGAAATTAATTGGCCAACTGATATATATATAAAAAATTAGCCGGGCATGGTGGCGCATGCCTGTAGTCCCAGCTACTCGGGAGGCTGAGGCAGAAGGATCACTCAAGCCCAGGAGTTTGAGGTTGCTGTGAGCTAGGCTGACGCCACGGCACTCACTCTAGCCTGGACAACAAAGTGAGACTCTGTCTCAAAAAAAAAAAAAAAAAATAACCTATGTGAAAATTCTCCGAAAAATATATTAATAAAAAGATAGAAAGTATTATTAGTAAACAGATACTATCTTAAGAGGGTCAAGTATATGGAAGATGAGTTATTGCATTTCTACCAGAAAAAAATAATTTGATCTGTTCTTCCTCTAAGGTTATTAACTTTTTTTAAAAAGTATGCATTTAAATTTTTTAATTATGAAAAAAGCTGAATAAAAGAAAATTAGAAGGCAGTAACTATCAGAATTTGAATATAATACAGGGAAAGCTGTCTAAGATAGGGAGAAAATATTACTGTAAAATAATTTATGAAAGGCAGTATCAACTCTTTAGTGGAATGAAATCATGCTAGGGAATAAAATACACTAATGTATTAACTGGGATTAATACTTTTCTCAGACTTACCTCTGCCCATTTAAGAATACAGTCATACAGAACACATGATTACAATTTTCTGGAACCAACTTCCTTCTCTAATAGGCAATTAAGACATATGGGACATCTGTCAGCTTCACTGTACAACAGACCAGTATGTAGCTAGTATTCATTCAGTGTGATCTAAAGAGTGACACCACCAACATACTCAGATTAAGTTGCTGATGTCACAATATATCACCAAAATTCTTATATGGAAAGAACACCACTACAATCTGATAACCTTGCACCACACCATCATATACTGCTTCTCTAACCCATAAAGAGCAAAAACCCCTTTTAAAAATCTTTAATCACCAAAGCAACCAAGATGCATAAATTCAACACAGATAAAATCTTTAGTTGGAAGCAGAGAAAAATTGTGTTATTTCATTAATCACTAATGATTACAAACACACAGAGAGTTTAACAATCATATTAACTCAGCAAAACTCAAAGTACTTTCCCCCCAAATACATTTCACCTATGCTTAGTGTCCCTTCTGTCAAAGATCAGTTTAGGTTTTTAATTTAAAAGTTTTTACATATACTACTATGAATTCAAGTGGTGTAACAAACTTTTTTTCCTTCTCGCAGAACTTGGCCCTAGAGTAATATACAGTTAAGTTCTCCTTTCACACTATTAATGAAAAAAAATATAAAACACGGGAACTATGAAAACCTAATTATGTTGTAATGCAATTGATTCTAATGTTTAGGTCATCAAATAATTTGAATGCGTAATTGTTAAAAACATTTTGAGATAGATCTCCTTTCAAATTTTTACATGCTAACAAAATACTAACTCAGAAAACAGCATGAGTAATATGAAGAGCAACTTTTATTTACATTTATAAGAACGGGGCTTATAATGAATTAATATTTACTTCAAAATATGTGGCCCAAATTGAGTCAATATAATACATTAAAAGTCCAAAATGTCCTTTTTCTTAATCATTCACAATCTATGAAGAACTTCAGTAATATCTCTAACTCAGAAATTAGTTCATCATAAAATTAAAAACAGGAATTAGAAAATGAGCGCTAAATTCACTTTTGCCTCTTAAGTTGTGAGATCTTGGCCAAGTTATAGAATATAAATCCAAGTTTCCTCATCCGTAAAAGTAAAGACTATTCCATCTGCTCTGGTTATTCCACAAGGCTGATATAAACAAGAAATCAAATAACCTATGTGAAGGCCGGCGCTGTGGCTCATGCCTGTATCCTAGCTCTTGGGAGGCCGAGGCGGGCGGATTGCTCAAGCGTCAGGAGTTCAAAACCAGCCTGAGCAAGAGTGAGACCCGTCTCTACTATAAATAGAAGAAATTAATTGCAACTGATATATATATAAAAAATAGCCGGCATGGTGCGCATGCCTGTAGTCCAGCCACTCGGAGCTGAGGCAGAAGGATCACTCAAGCCCAGGAGTTTGAGGTTGCTGTGAGCTAGGCTGACGCCACGGCACTCACTCTAGCCTGGACAACAAGTGAGACTCTGTCTCAAAAAAAAAAAAAAAAATAACCTATGTGAAAATTCTCCGAAAATATTAATAAAAAGATAGAAAGTATTATTAGTAAACAGATACTATCTTAAGAGGTCAAGTATATGGAAGATGAGTTATTGCATTTCTACCAGAAAAAAATAATTTGATCTGTTCTTCCTCTAAGTTATTAACTT